CCAGTCCTGCTATGTTTCTGAACTATGTTTTAGCCGTAACTATCCAGGTAATGTTTTGAATAATGGTGACCCAGTATTAATGACAGTCCCACCCATCAGTCAGTATCCTCACTCTGTTACATTCACTACACTACCTGATATGCCAAACAATTTCTACAGTATAGCAGTACCTGCTGATTCTTATTACAGTGGTACTGTAATCATTAATGGCAGCCTTACCACATTAAACTGGACACCAATCAGAGATACTAATGGAGTTATCACTGGATATGGATACAATACTACAGTCTATGGATCTTCTACTATCAGTCACAGTCATGCTAATGGCAGGATATATGTCAGTGCTTATGGATTTTCACTTGGTGGTGGATATGGATACCCTGCTGGAATTCTATTGCAACCAATAAATTGTGTACCAATCTTTATTTTTAATTCAACTCTTTATTATGCTACAGAAGGTGACAATGAAGCAATGATATTCATTCAAAAGCAAAAGATAAATTCATCCATCAATGTTATACAAGTTTCATCAAAAGGTATGAAAGAAAGCAAATAAAAGCTTATTATAACTTTTTGTAGATTTTAACGAGACAGTGATCTTTGCTTCTGGGGAGACAATTAAAGCAGTATCTCTACCAATACCTGATGATCACTATACCGGTAGCACTGAGTACATAAACTTGACTCTTAATTCAGAAACAGACGAGGAGACTTGTGCAGAAACAACAATTGTCATTAAGGATAACGATGGTGAATTAATGTTGTTTTAGCTAAATCTAAACTTTTATTGGGGAAGAATTCATAATACTACTTGATGCATATACTTTTCTTTATTGGTATAGAAAGTATGAGCTGATTTTGAAATTTTAAAGTTACACAAAAGTTTGTCAAGAGATACTGTACTATATCTATAGTTAGTCAAATTTTGCCAAAAATGACTAAAACAGAATTCTTCATTTTTATAATTTTATTTGATACATATACATGTTTTTATGTTTTGTAGCAAGTTTCACATGATTCTGATCAAATTTGGAATTTTTATGAATTTTTAAAGTTACTCAAAAATCAGGCCAAAGTCCCTGTACAATAGTACAGGGATTACAAAAGAATTCTCCATTTTTATAATTTTATTTTCAATATGAATACATGTACTTATGCTATTTTTTTTTAATTTGAGCTGATTATAGTCAGGTCTGGATTTTTTTACAAATTTAAAAAGTTACTGAAAAATGAAACCAAAGACCATGTATTTTAGTGCATGATGTTTCATGAATATGGCTAGGAGATTC